CCCCACGGCCTCCGCAGGTTAGCACTGGGGGCGGCGGGGTTCCCAGAGTCCTTTTTGCTTTCAAATGCATTTCTGCAGCTTCTCCAAATGGCCAAGCCCTTGCAAGATACTCAATTCCTACTGTTCAACAGCTGACAGCACATTTGAAAACAAGAGGCAGTCAAATTCAGAAACAAATTCAGTGAAATTCATAAGCGTCTGGATAAATCATACTTTTCACATAAAATGTGTTAAATTTTATGTCTGCCAAAGTAAACCATTGTAATTTTTCAAAGACGACGAGAGGGGGCGCTGTCGGCCCATGTACTCTGTCCCACCCCCCTCTCGCCCCCTGGCGTCATCCAACCACCCCCTCCCCACGGAGCAGGTCCGTACCGCCCTGGGCACAGGCTAGGAGTCCCAGAACCTTCCTGCAGGCGCTGATGGCCGGCTTGGGATTTGCGGAGCCTTTTCTTCCACGGGTTCCTCACACAACACAGGCTGCCTGCCTGGACCACGAAGCCCACTCCACCCCCACAGGCGTGCCTTCTGTCCCAGAGATTCTTCATGTTGGCCCTGGCAGGAGATTCGACAGGAGAGCAATGCACAAAGGTTAACTTGTTGCAACTGTCCCCACACCAGATCGAACCGTCACACCCAGACTGTGCCTGCCCACCCCGGCCCCAGCCCCCAGTGGGGCGGACTCCTCATTTCAGGCTTCCTTTTGTCCTGCAACTGCTCAGAGACCCGGTGCCTAGAGGTGACGAGTTAAAGGTGCACTTGACAGCCTGGATGGGGCCAGAGGTCTGGGGGCGGGGGTGGGGGAGTAACCACCCGGTGGTTGAACAAACGCAGGAAAGCAATGATTCACAAGCCACCGCCACACCGTCCGCCAGTCGGTCCATCCCGGGCACCACGCCGAGCCTCTCCCTGGACGCTTTCCCGTCCTTCCTTGCCCCTTTCTAATCTGTTACCAAGTCAACCTTGGCTCCTCCCTCCAACATATCGGCTTGAGTTTGTCGCCCGCTCTCTTCCTCTTGCCACCAACCTGTTCAGACCACAATCGCTCCCTCCTCGAATTGACAACTAATTGCCAGGCACAGAGAGGGAGCTGGAGACACCGTGGTACACAAAGCGCGCGGCGCTCGCCCTCCCGGCGCCGGGTTTTCGGACTCCAGAGCCTCTCACCCTCCTGGTCTCTGCCTCCCTCCCTTCTCCAACTTGCCCAGCGCCTTTGGCAGCTGCTGTTCCAGGTGTCAGGCACGCCACCTCCCCTGCCACCGGGGCACCAGGGCACCGCCCGCACGCCTCGCCCACCGGACCGCGCCTAAACGGTCACCCTGCTGAACCACAACGGTTTTGGAACGCAAGAACCCCCGCTCAGCACGGGGCCGCGCCTCCTAGCCACCTCCGCCCCGCAGCACTCCAGTACGCGGTGGCCGCCGGGCTCTCCGCGCGCCCAGCCCAGTACGCACGCGCATGGAGGGGGCGGGGCCGGCTACTTTAACCTTTACCGCGCCGGCTTGCAAAAGGGCCCCGAGACCCGGCCTTCCCCGCACCAGCTACTGCAGAAGGCGCGCAAGCAGCTCTGGACAGTGCTGGAGACCTGTCCAGAAAAGTAGGCACTCCCCACCGCGCTCCCCACAAACGGCTGTCTACCTTTAACACGCCCTCCACCTGCGCCCATTGGCTGCAGCGTACTGCGTCATCACTATGCGCCGGCCGGCGGCGTCTTCCCGCTCCTTAACCCTGACGACACAGCAGCGACAGCCTTGGCTGCTGTGGCGAGCGGGAGGCGGTAACGTCGGCGGGAAGATGTAAGTTGGCGGAATCCGACCCCATCGGAGCTGCGCGGGCCGCCCGCCAGGCCCGGCGGGGTGCATCAGGGAGCTAGGCGGCTCCTCAGCCCGCGATGGTGGCCGCGGCCTGGAGGCGCGGGCTCTGCGGAGAGTGTGGGCCGGGGCGGGCGGAGTGGGAGGCGCCGAGGCCGCGGCCCGGAAGTGGTCGGGGCCGCCGCGAACTGAAGGGCCGCGGCGCGCCAACCGGAGCGCGGCCTCCGCCCGTGGGCCCTGCCTTGAAAGCGTTCGCGGCCCGCGCCAGACGGGGGTTGCGAGAGAACGCGGTCGGGGGACAGCGGGGCCGGTGGGAGCGGAGCGGCTTTGTGGGCCGCCTGGGAAGGCCGGGCGACCCTCCCCCGGGGTCCTTCATCCACACTTTGCCCTCCACGAGCGTTGTCCGAGCTCCGTGCGCCGTTCTCGGCGCGAGGCCCGGGTCCTGCGACCGCCCTGCCACGGAGCTCAGCTTGGTGGGTTCCCACAGCGGGGAGGCCCCGGGAAGGTTAAGGTCAGCGGAGGAGAGACGTGGAACAGGCTGCTTCTGTGTCTGGTTTTAGCATGAATTGTGCCTAAGTGTAAGTGGGAAAAGGCGCTTTGGAGATTGGAGCTGAAACGCTCTCCCCGCTGCTCAAACTGAACTAACCGTTCTCTCCTCTCTCTGGCTGTTGGCCGCGCACCTTTCCGGAGGCCGCGGAAGGTGGCCGAGGTCCTGGCCTGAACTCGTGGGAACAGAGACTCTCAGCGCTTGCTTCCTAGCGCTCCGCCACGCCCAGCAAAGCGTTCGCTCCCTCTGAGCTTGGTTTCTAGAACTTAAGAGTGAGCAGTGGGACGTGTTTTCCCGCGGGGGCGGGGGCGGGGCCCAGGACTCTGCATGTGTCGTGCGCGCTGCCCGCAGCCACGGCCGCCTGTCGCTCGTGAGCCCTTGCAGTGCAACGAGTCCGAACCGAAATGTCTGAAGGCAGCCCAGATTGCGAAGACGTAGTGGGGGAGAGTGTCGCAAACACTTGCTTCGTTAATGTTGTCTGTGGATGAAGCCCGGGAAGGTAACACAGGGTGTTGCAGATGGCGCATTACTAAAAGCAAACGTTCCCTGTTAATTCGCACTGTTCGGGAAGTGGCTCCTAGCCACGGTGCGTTACGCTGGGGCTGGCATTCTGCTGCTATGGGACAGCACTGCTCTGTGTGGTCCTGCAAGGGCTGGCAGGGACCCTGCGAAGTGTCAGACTGCTGTGCGACTTTGGAGTGTAGCTGGGAGAAGAGCGTCCAAACGTGGAGAAACGGCCCTCAGACCACTAGCTAACATGCACTGAGGAGCCCTGGTGGCACAGCTGCTCTGTGGGCCACGTGAGCTGGCGAAAGGTTTCAACTCGGGAAACACTATGAGGCAGTTCTGTTCTGTCTGTAGGGTCGCTAGGAGTTGGACTCAATGACACAACAACAACAAAACATTTATCGAGATGTGTGTCAAGTGTCTGTCGTGGATTAATTCCATTGACACCCTTTTTAATTCTCTGAGATCGGAACCATGACTGTCACCGTATTGCAGATGCACTATCGGGGCTGAGAAAGGTTAAGAGACTCATGCAAGGCCTCGAATCGAGCGCTGGCCAGCTGAGTCCAGGCTGCATTATAATCCGTGATTGCCCGGCGGTGCTAACCTGCCTGCTGGGTGGCTCTGGTACCTTATTGTTTTAAGGCAAAGTATTTTTAGGATGCTCCAGCTCCTCTTGTTTGACTCCAAAGCCAGGTGTTTGTTTGCTTGGCGCAGGGCATTGGCTCTGGCAGCAACCCTTGTCGGGGACTCCTACGTGTACAGACACCAGCTCCGAGCTGTCTGCGGTGTCCAGATGACTGGGGGGGTTGAGACAGGGAGGCAGGAACTGGAACCGGTGTCCTGAGGTCATGGCTTCCAACTCCAATAAATCGTACCAAACTACACTGGCACCGTTAGAGGCAGCCAGTCCCCAGGGGATAGGGGATACGGGCGCAGGAGGTTTGGAGTCGTGCATTTTAGTCGTCACTTGGAACGTGACAGTGCAGACACCTTGCTGAGCCCTTGACATGCTCGTCCAGCTCCAGGGTCTGAAGCTTTTCTGCAACATTTGAAAAGTTCTCAAACCCCACCTCGCGTGGTGAATACCCACGCCCAGGACAGTTCCTGCTGTATTTGGTTTCTCATGTTCCCAGTCCATTGATTTTAGTTTTTCTGGCATTCCAAAGTAAAATACGTATTTCAATACACTTCTTCCCCACTGGATATGCAAATTAATAATTAAAGCACCTCTGGTGGTGCGGTGAGTAGGGCACTCGGCTGCTATCCAAAAGGTCGGTGGTTTGAGCCCACCAGCTGCTCCACAGGAAAAAGATGAGACAGTCCACGTCTGTAAAGATGACAGGCTGGGACCACTGGGTTGTGGGGCAGTTCCACTCCGTCCTGTAGGGGCGCTGTGGGCCACAATGGACTCCACACAGTGGGTGTGGCTACCTGAAGGTCAGCACTCACAGGAACGATTTTAAGTAGTGTTTCACTGCTTTTCCCGTGTTCGTAATGGGCCATTTGAACTGCTTGGATTTGGATGGTGAATACCCTGAAGCTGGTACCAGTCCCTTCGGGGTGGTTTTTGCTTCCTGTCCTAGCATGTGCGGTGCATCCTAAACAGACTGCAGCGATTAAGACGCGCTCTGATCCTGGGAGGAGAGCCACTCCTGTAGGCTGTTCTCTGTTCTGCATGTGTATGTGCTGTGGTGTTTTTAAGGGACTGTCCCTGGGTCGTCACGCACTTACGAGTGGAGGACTGGTGCTGTACAGCCTATAAAGTGGCCGTGGCGGGAGCACCACCTCCACCCCCGTTGCCTTAAGAAAAACGCAGGCTGAAGTGATAGTTCCGCTGATGCCTGGCGGGGGTTCCTCAGGAGGAGTTGGCGACCGTCCCCGCATGTCCCTGGCTGTGTGGGCCCCGTTGCTTACTGTGTCTGTGCTGCCTTCTCCATGCTCAGCTTGTTACTGCAAAGTGGACCTGGTGCCTTGGCGACCCGTTCACTCTCAATCCTTTTATCTTGTTATTAGGCTGCTCTTTGGCGTAAATTGCAATCGATTAGGGATCGTTTCTCAGAATCGAGTTAGAAGTGAGTTCAGATAAGTGAGGCCGCCCTTGCTGCTTTGAACACCTCAGAAGGAAGGGGAGAATGGATTTATCAGGAATGAAAAAGAAGAGCTTGCTAGGAGTCAAGGAAAATAATAAAAGGTCCAGCACTAGGTAATCCTCCACGAGATTCTTCAAGTGCGACTTTGGGGGCGCGCGCTGCTAGGGACCCTGAGGAAGGGGACAGTTGGCACTGTGCGTGTCACGAGCCACAGACCACCTTGCTGTGGGATTAGCGGGGTTCTCGGGCCCCTCTAGACCCCTGCTCTTGGGCTGTGCTGTGGTTTTGGGTCTGGGTCACAGGCCACACGCCTCACTCTCTCCCTCGCCCTGCAGGGCTCCTTCCCCCACGAAGCGCAAAGACCGCTCTGACGAGAAGTCCAAGGACCGCACTAAAGATAAAGGGGCCGCCAAGGAGTCGAGTGAGAAGGACCGTGGCCGGGATAAGGCCCGGAAACGACGCAGCGCGTCCAGTGGTAGCAGCAGCACCAGGTGGGGCTGGCCAACCCCTGGGCATGGTGACTGGGGTGGGGTCTGCTCCACTCCCGTGGAGGGGCTACTGTTTGGGTTCTTCTTTCCGATATGTTGAGGAATACGAAGTTCAGGGCATAGTTTTGTCTCAAAGTACATTTGATTCCAAGTTGCAGTTGGCTCTCGCTGGCCTGTAGCTCACGGTCATCTGCCCCAAGTCCAGCCTGGCCCACCAGCAGCTGCTGGCCTGCTCCCACCTGGGGGCTCTGAACCTGTGCCCAGGAGGGCGCTGGCTCTCCCTGGCCCGTCACAGGCTCGGTGGGAATGAGGCCCCCTCCCCCCCCCCAGCCAAGGCCTCCGTCCTGGGGCGGGGCATGCACGTGGTCCCTCCCTCAGCCACGGGGGGCAGAGGGCGCGAGGCGGACCCAGCAGCAGGGCCCCCGCGGGCCGCCCCTGACGCCTGCGCCCCTGACGCCTGCGCCCGCTCCAGGTCCCGCTCCAGCTCCAGCTCCAGCTCGGGCTCCAGCTCCAGCAGCGGCTCCAGCAGCGGCTCCAGCTCGTCGTCGGCGTCCAGCCGCTCGGGCAGCTCCAGCACGTCGCGCAGCTCTACCTCCAGCAGCTCCTCGGGCTCCCCCAGCCCTTCGCGGCGCCGGCATGACAACAGACGGCGCTCCCGCTCCAAGTGAGCACCGGCCCGGGGGGTGGCTGCCTTAGCAGGAAGCCCTTGGCCGAGTGGTCGCGGCCCCTGCCAGGGAAGCCAGCCCATCGCCACTTGACGGGAACGGTCTCTGTGTGCTCCCTCGATCAGGTCCAAACCACCTAAAAGAGACGAGAAGGAGCGGAAGAGGCGGAGTCCCTCCCCGAAACCCACCAAGGTGCACGTGGGTCGCCTCACCAGGAACGTGACCAAGGTGAGGAGGCGCCGACCCGTGGTCCACGCAAAGCAGGAGTCCAGAGTCCTGTAGCACGTCTTCTCCGTGGACGGCCATGCCCGTCTCTAGAAGCCACCCCGATGTGACAGTGGCTGTCCAGGCTGGGGCCCGCCTGCCCTTCCAGGCTCGCTCTGTGGTACCTCCTGGGACTAGAGCGTTTGCGTGGCCCCTCTCTCCTTCCAGGATCACATCATGGAGATATTCTCCACCTATGGGAAGATTAAAATGATCGACATGCCCGTGGAGAGGATGCACCCCCACCTGTCCAAAGGCTATGCCTACGTGGAGTTCGAGAACCCGGACGAGGCTGAGAAGGCGCTGAAACACATGGACGGAGGTGGGTCACCAGCGCCCTAGGGTCTCCCCTCTGTCCAGTGTCACAGCGGCAGCCGCTCGGCCAGGGGGCCCTGGGAGTGCATCTCCAGCCTGGCTGTGTGTTGGCACCTCCCTGGAGCTGGTTCGGGGTGCTCATTCTCACTCAGTGGGCGAGTGTTTACCCAAAACATGTGTCATGGAACGTTATTCTTGAAAAAAATACTCAGCAGATGTGAATATATTAGCATTTTAATAAACTCAATCTGGTATATGCTTGAAGATCCAGAGGCGGGTTCAGAACACGTTCTGTGCGGATAGTGAATGAAAGGCTGGCTTTTCATGCAGGACTGTTTCCTTCTGGCTCATCTTTTGTTTTGTAAACATGCCAGCATTTTTAGGGTTATTTTGCTGAGCGGTCACTTTACTGAAATTGCATCCACTTCCCCAAAGCTTGTGTCTTTTAACTGATGGCCCATACAGCCGTTGTTATTGGGCGGTGTGGTTTCCACAGCGTTTGAAAGGTCGGGGATGGTTTGGTCTTCAGGTGGGTGGTTTAGGGACTGCGATCTGCTCTGCTCAGCACCCCACTGCTGTCGTCTGGGCGGCGAGGCAGGAACGGCTCCCAGGCACTCGGGCCCTGTGGTCCCCAGGACCTGTTGGGACGTCTATAAAGAGCTTGTACACTTTGCTGTCTGGCGGCCTCGGAGCCCTGTGACTTTTGGGTATTGGAAAACTTCTTTGATAATTCCCCACTTCCTGCTTGCTTATGTCTGAAGGGCGTTAACAGCTGAACATAAACTCTTGTCACTCTGCGTGTACCAGTTCTGTGGCCCCGGGACTCATGCCTTCTGTGCAGGGACTCAGCCTTGGCATATTTGATAGTCTGGGCACTCGCTGAAAACTTGAGGGGCTAGCGCAGCTCCAGGGTGGACAGGTGACAACATGCCAAGTTGTGCTGAGGCCGCAGTGGAGTCTGGGAGCGTTCCCCACTCTGCTGTGCACCAAGGGAAACCACAGCACGCCATCTCCGGGAGGAGACATGGAGGGCAGGGCCTTCCCCGCAGGGGCCAGAGGACAGCATGATCTGTAGTTTCACGGACAGTGCTGTAAAATTCCTGTCTGGGGCCAGGTGTGGCAGTGATCCAGGGGCCGCCTTAGGCTTTGTTTTCTTATGACTTTGAGCATGTTCCAAACACGTCCACGTCCTTGGGTTTTATCAGTACCTGGCGCCCTTTGGGGGATAGGGGCTGTGCCTGGGCTCTGTACAGTACCCTGGACGGTGGGCACTCTGGGGGTCAGGGTGCAGCTGTGACCCCCTTTCTGCTGGGTTGCCCCCCTGGCTTCTGTACCTTTGTGAAGCACTCGTGTTAAATGTTTCACGACTTGGTCCCTTCTCCACAGGACAGATAGACGGCCAGGAGATCACGGCCACGGCTGTGCTGGCCCCCTGGCCCAGGCCTCCCCCCCGACGCTTCAGCCCCCCCAGGAGGATGCTGCCCCCACCCCCCATGTGGCGCCGATCTCCCCCGCGGATGAGGAGACGGTGAGTTGGTCCGTGCGTCACGGGGTTTACAAACGTGAGTGTGGTGACCCTGCACCCTCCACTTGGCCCCCCACTCAGGCGCTGGGTGACATGGGGTGAAAGCTTGGTTTCTCTGGGCCCTGGAGGTTTGTCCCGTTTGTTCCAGTTGGGAGACTGGGGGAAGGAGGCAGTGACCAGAGAGGATGGCAGAAGATGGGGCCCTGAGGGCACCTCGATGGTGTACCCAGAAGTCTTCCGGATCCTGTTCCTCCAGACGCGAGGCCCCTTCCCTTCCCGGCTCAGGCAGATCTGGAGGAGCGTTTGGGGGGTGGGGCAGAGGCCTGGTGCTTGTGTTTGAGCCCTGCTGTCTGCCCCCGGGAGCAGAGGAGGGACGTCTGAGCAGCCGCCATTGGTCCTGGCTGCGCCTGCCCCATTCCCAGGGGCTCCTCGGTCCTCAGAGTCTCTGCCGAGAGTAAAGCGGCACAGAACGGTCCTGAAAGACGCCAACGTGCACCCTGGGGCCTAGGCGCCCAGGCTCGTCGTTTCTGGGCTGTGACACACTGTCTTCTCCCCTGTAGGTCCCGCTCGCCGCGACGCAGGTCCCCTGTGCGCAGGCGGTCTCGCTCTCCTGGGCGCCGCCGGCACCGCAGCCGCTCCAGTTCCAACTCCTCCCGATAAAGCCGGCCACAGCAGCTCCTCCCCCCTGTAACTTATCTCCCACCCAAGCATGTTCTGTCACTTTTCCAGCCAGGAGGGTGGGGAAGAGGGGACCCCCTCCTGTGGGGCCGGCATCTCCTGCAGCAGCTAGGACGCCTCCTCGGAGCCTGGCTGCAGACGTGTGGTTGGTTTGGGGTTGGGCCTGTGAAGACATCTGCAAGTTACCAGTTTCCGAGAGAGTTGGTTCGGTTCCACAGCAGAGCCAGGGGGCACGCAGAGCTGCGGGCCGAGTGTGGCCCAGCTGGGAACATGGCCTTTCTCTCCACAGATGGCCTGGGCCAGTCTGGTGACCTGGTCGCGACCCTTCAAGAAACGGGGGGCTTCCAGGCCACCACCGATGTCAGGCCTGCTCCCAAGTCCTCTGCCTGAGTCCCCTGGCCCTCCAGGCCCAGCGGAGTCCCCTTCCCGGTCATAGGTGTGAGGCGCCTTCCTCCGTGTGTTTGGGCCCCACACCTACCCACGTCCCCCTTGTCTCTCAAACCGGTGAGCACGCTGAGAGCCTGTCCTGCGGGACACCTGGCGCCACCCGCAGCTGGCCCCACGCGTCTGCCGGTAGCAACACGCTCCGCTGGCTTCTGATGTACAGTCAGGACTCTACACTTTCTGTTCGAGTTTTGTAACTTTGTAGCATTTTGGATGACGTTGTGTTTGTACCTTGTGTAGAATAAAAGCCTTGTGTTGAATAAACCTAGATTAGAACAGAGCCCCGAATGGTGCTGCCAGCCCTTGTCCCTGTCCCGGTTGTCACTCCATCAGGAGGGGCATAAAAACCATCCCTTTAGCGCCTGACTGAGCGGGGACTTGGGCTTCCTTGCTTCCAAATCCACCACCGGAGGCGGAGGGTTGAGAGTACCTTGAAGGCTGGCTCCTTCCCACCTTGTCTCCCGGTGGTTTAAAGCCCGGCCTAAGCAGGACGCCACCTGCTGGCCTCCATCAGTGCTTCCGGAGAACCCTCGCCTCAGGAGTGACCCTGTGCCCAGGGGGCGCGGGCCTCTGTTCACTGGCCTCTAGTCAGGTCCTCAGAGTCCCCACACTAAGCTCACCATCGGCCTCAGGGCCTAGTGGGGGCACTGCCGCAGCTCCCCGGGTTTTGATCCCTGCCCAGTAGGCGCACCACAGCCGTTTGCCAGCCGGCCTACAGCCCCCAGGGCGCCGCTTGTCTGCCCCGACCCTTGCCGAGGCAGTGGACCCGGCCGCCAGCTCCAAAGAGCTGCCGGGGACCCACGCCTGGGCCGCTCCGTCCTGGTGGGACCTGCTCCAGGCGCCCGTCAGCCGAGCGCGCCGGGACGGGGCGGGGCCGGCGGGAGGCGAGGCCACAGCCTGCCCGCGACCCCAAGCCGCGCCCGGTCAAGATGGCGCTGGTAGCCCGAGTGCGCGCTCTGCTGCTCCCTGGTGCGTGGCCGCGGGGAGCACAGGGGCGCGGGGATCACCGAGGGGCGCGGACGGGCGCTCACGAGCCACGTGCCGTCCGCAGGATCCCGGCTCCGTGGCGCAACGCTCGGAAGGGCGGCCAATGGCGGCGGAGCGGGCGCGCGGCGCGCCTTGAGCCACCGGGTGCTGGTGGAGGCGGACCCGGCGGCAGGTAAGGGCGGCCGGCCCGGGTTTCGGAGGGTGGTCGCGGGGTGATGCTGGCAGGTGCCCCGGGGGTTGGAAGCCCCTGCCCGCCGGCGCGTCCTCCTGCCCGTCCTCCCGCCCGAGGGGTAGAGGTCAAAGTGCGCATGCCCGCGCGGCCGACACCCCCCCTCCCCGGAGCCCAGCTCTGCTTGGGAAGGAGCGCCGCGCTGCCAGGGGTGGTGGGTGCGTGCGCCCCGAGCTGGGTCGACGGGGGAGTGCTTTAGTTAGTGTTCGTCCCCCCGTTCGTTACGAAGATAAAATTATGTCCGTTTTTAAAGTTTCCGGGATGCAACCTTTAGGCTATTAAATCGAAAAGAGGAAATGGTTGGCCGTTTCGGAATGAGATGTCAGTTTTCTGAGCCTCGTGTAGCAGAGCCCACACGGAGGGCGGCTGTCCTAACCGCCAGGCTCCTGGGAGCACACCTTCAAACTCCTGAGTCTTAGAACTGGACGGTCCAACCTACACTGCTGTTGGCACCCGGGAGGACTCCCGTGCCGGCTCTGAGGACGCGCGGGGCTGTGCTTAGGGTGCTGCCCCAGGCCTTCCCGCTCTGGGGGCCTCAGCTTTTCAAGATGGGGGTACTGCTGAAGTCCTGTGGGGGGTCACCGTCCTCCCCAAACCGCGGAGGCAGCCTTCCTCTAACGTCGCCTCGCCCGAGCCACCACACGCCCGGGTTCCACGCTGCCTCCCGACCCCACTGTGTCCCGGCTCCCCAACCCAAGTGACTTGATGTTAGTTGCCGCCGACTCATCCGACTTTCTGCAGGACAGAACGACCCCTTGTCCAGTCCTGCGTCATCCTCTTAATAGTTGGTGTGGCCAAGTTCACTGGGTTTTGAGGTGGCCTAGTGCCTAAGGCATTTGACTGCTAACCAGATCACCAGCCACTCCTCGGAAGGGAGGTTGGGCAACCTACTTCCATAGTGATAGCGCCTGGGAAACCCAAAGAGGGGTGGCTGTGAGCCGGGTCCGACTCAGCGGCAGAGTTTGAGTTCCAGCCCAGAGACTCGTCCTCCCACACTGTCGGACACGGTTTGGCTGCGACCCATAGGGATTTTGTCCGCTGAGTTTTGGAAGCACATCAACAGGGCTTCCTAGTCTGTCTGAACCTGAAAGTTCCGCCCGAATCTGCCCACCAAGGCTGACCTCATGGACATTTGAAATACTAGCGCCACGGCTTCCCCGTTAGAGCGACGTGCAAGCCCCCGGCACGGGACCAGACCGCACCACGGTTGGCAGTGAGGTGGGGAGCAGAAAACCGGAGCTTAATTCTGCCCCCCCCCCATAAGAAACAAACCAAACCGGGTGCTGTGGGGCCGACGCCACGCACCGCGCTCTGGGCGCCGGGCGCCTCCTCCCTGAGAAGCTGCCTGTGATTCACTGGAAACACTGGGCTCGGGTCCGGTCAGCACCGGGCCGGGCTGCAACAGTAAAGGGAATGCCTTAAAATTGTTTTTATTCAGGTGCCGGGACTACGTTGATTTCCGTTTCTGTTTGACTCCATTGAACCAGCACCTATTTATGACCAAGGGGCTCTAGAGGCACGATGGTTAAAGCACTCTGCTGCTAACTGAAGATCAGCAGTTCGAACCCAGCCGCCGCCCCGTGGGAGAAAGATGAGGCAGTCCGCTTCCATACATATACAGTCTTGGCAACCCTGTGGGGTTTCGCACAGGGTCGGTCAGAATCGACCCTGTGGCAGGTTTTGGTTTTTTCCGGTGGATTTGGTGCCTGCTGTGTACCAGGGCCAGGGCCACTTACCTCCTGACCCACATTCCTCTCCGCTGAGTCATGTCGACCCTTGCGGTCCTCCTCCGCCCCACCCCCGTGATCTCTGGGATCCCGTCCCAGAAGGCCACGGTCAGGCCAGCGTTAACACGCTTCAGCGTGCCCTGCGGAAACTTCCCCTCTGAACCAGATCAGCTCTTGGGTCTAGACCTGTGTTTAACTTTTGATTGGGTTGGGGGTGGGAGTTTACAGAACAGGTTGGTCTTCCTTCCAGGTTCACACTCGTTTTGTTTTGTGACGTTGACTGTGACCCCCACCCCCACCGGGCAGTGTCGCACTGCTCTGGCCGCCTCCTCCCTGCGTTTCCTGTTGCCATCTGTACCCCGTTCCTGTCCCTTCCTGCCTTCTGGGCTTTACCCCCGGGGCTGTGTTCGCCTCCCGGGGCTGTGGGTGGAGCCCCGGCGGAGGTCAGTTCCAGGCTTGCAGGGTGACTAGGGGCCAGTCTCGGGGGTTTTACCTGTCTCTTATCAGACCAGGCAGCCTGGTCTTTCTTACGCTTATGAGCTTTGTTCCCCCCGTTCTCCCATTCTATCCAGGACCTCCTGTGGCGATCCTGTCAGAGCTGTGAGTTGTGGAGGCTGGGGTCCTTTGGAGTCATTGTTTCCGTTTACTCTCTGAGCTCTGGGTGTTTCTGCAAGTTTTTTTTGTGTGTGTGTGTGATTTGGGTGAAGATTTACAGAGCAAATTCACTTTCCATGCAGCAATTCACATATACTTTGCCTCATGACATTGACCGCAGTTTACCACAATACAACAGCTCCCCTCCCACTTCCTTCCCATAGTTACCTCTTTCCTGTGTCCATCCCTCCATGCACTCCTGCCTCTCCCTGTGCATAGGCAGTCCTTTTTTCTCAATGATTGTTCTCTCCAAGGAGTGTATCTGCCTCAGGGAAATGTTCAGCTCATATGCCTGTCTTCTGTTTGGCTGGAAACCACAGGTGTGGGTTCAATTCCAGACCTGAGGGGCAGCTAGGGGCCATAGTCTCAGTGGTTCTACCAGGCTCTATGGGACC